CACGCGCATGCACGAGGACGCCGCCGGCCCCGTTCCAACCGAACTGGTTGGAACGGGGCGAGAAACCCACCCCTGGTGGGGGCCCAACAGAAGTACAAGAGAGCCACAGGTCAACACGAAGCCATCGAAGACCAATGTATCTGGACGATTATGTTTGTGTAATACGAAATTAATGGAACATCCCGCGGGTGGGAAGGGTTATTATGTCCACGCTTTTCCTACTGCCTTGCAAGTGCAAGATGGATTTTAAAGTTATTGGTTAATTAGAGTTTCCCTTAAAAGGAGCTGTTGGCCAGAAACTAGATGTTGGTTTATAGTCTGCTCTTATCTTGAATAAACAGCATTGTTGGAATGTGGCTCCTGGTCTGTTCCCCATGCACAACATTACAGATATGCAGCACACTGAAAACTCTCCTCAACTCTGGAGACTATGTAGGTTGTAATTGTGGACAGGTTTATTCGTAATAGCAAAACTTCATAACTCCAAAGTTTGTAAGAAGAGCAATGTCTGTATTTCTTTAAAATAATATTTCCTAACTAGATGGTTCTTTAGTTCTTTTAGGGGTTAACTAGCCCCTGTTGTCATTCTGGGCAGGGATGAAGTTAGATGAAATGGGGTTTATAATATTATACACCTGAAGGATATCAAACTGAGTCAGCTGACTTAATACAAAATCTTTGCATCTGCTCCTTTTCAATGTAAATCAAAGGGAACAGAGGAAACACTGTATGATTTTATTGTCTATTCTTGGATCAAGAGCTCCCTCTGTGGGTCATAGCCCATTGTTAACGTATCAGTCTGTTCAGTTTAGGATTTTGTCTAGTTCAGTATTTCTCAACCTTTAAGATATGTGAATTTCAGTTCCCAGATTTCCCCAGGTAGTATAGGCAGAAAAAAACCTGTAAAATTAAGCTTTTTTAATAAAGAGAATCCTCCAGTGACTTCAATTTTAAAACTACAACTCACCGCGCTTTGTGGGCATGCAGGGGGCTGGGATGGCAAAGCTGTTTCCTTCCAGTGTATAAGGATGTATAAATTCAATGGGAAGAAACAAAATCATATCTATTCTACATCAAATAACCAACAACCTAAATTATATCTAGTTTGCTAAATAAAGTTGCATCTAATCCCATCTGTTAAGGGATCTATCTATGTGACTAGGGTAGTCGCATATAAATTAGAAAAATATAAATTATTCTAATTTATATTAGAAACAGATATTAGAAATCCCTGCCATCTAATTTTGGCAAATGAGGTCACAGCATTCCCTCTCCTGCTGAGCAAATACAGTATAGTTAACATCACATTAAATTACTAAAAATTTACTGCTGTTCATGATACCAGGATGAGTTGCTTGAAGAGATCATTTTACTCTGCTTAACTTTGGCCAACTTTCTCAGAAAGGGATGACTTTTCTGGCTGATGATTTGCATGTTTACCTAGTCCCTTGCCAAGATTCAAAGGGTAACCTGCTAAAAGGTAGCTCTTTTACCACCCCTCTTCCTTCGTAGATGAAGGCGAACAACTAGATTCCTCAGCTCGATCAACTAATCTCCTCCACTATAAACCACGTCTTGCTCCTTTGAAGATTTCTACATCTGAAACGTAAGTATATGGGACAGCTACTAACTTGTAGAAGAGCTCAGTGTAACAAAATAAGACATAGACCTGATGCATTAGGAAACTTGGACAAACATTTTAAATTATCGATAGTTAGAAGATGTATTTCGATACCTGAGAGGTATACTATGGGGTTCCACCACAAATGCGCGCACAACAAAAGCGCGTCTGACTAAACCGTGGTGACTAAAGCGCGGTGACAAAACCGCGTGACGAATGAGCGACTAATTAGCCCTAAAGCGCGCCGACAAAAGCGCGCCGACAGAAGCGCGCTGTAATGTAACCCTCAACCTAACCCTCAACCTAACCCTAACCCTAACCCTAACCCTAACCCTAACCCTA